TTTTTAAATAAACTAAAAAAATTAGCAGAGAGAGGTTTCGATCCTCCGACCTTTGAGTTATGAGCCCAACGCGATTCCACTTCGCCACCCTGCTGTTTATAGTAAATATATAATTTTATTGTTAGAAATAAAGATTTTTATTATAGATAAAATGAAGTTTGCCTATATTTTTATACTTCGAATATGATTTTTTTTTTTTATTAATAAAATAAATCATATTTTAATAACAAAATTATATTAAAATAAACAATTTCTTTAAATAATATTATTTATTAAATAAAAAATAAAAAACGAAAAATAAGAAAAAATATTCTTTTAATAGTTTTATCATTTACAAAAAAAATTATATATATTATTTATTTACTTAAAAGTATTAATAATAATAAAATAAATTTTAAGTATTGAAATTCATTCCTTCAAATTATTTATAAATATAAAAAATATATTTCTTAATTAAAATTAAATATTTTTTTACATATATATAGAAAGATTGAGATATTTCTTTTATTTATATAATATTTAAATAAAAAATATAAAATTCTTAACCTTTTTTATGAAAAATAACAATAATTATTGAAAAAAATATTAAAAATATATTTAATATTTATAATAAATTATATTATTTATTTAAATAAATTAAAAACATACCAATTTCAATTGATTATCTTATTTTATATTTAATTTTATATAGATGTCAGTTTGTCCGAGTGGTTAAGGAGTTAGACTTGAAATCTAGTGGGTTCTACCCGCGCAGGTTCAAATCCTGCAGCTGTACGTTTTTTTTTTTTTTTTTTTTTACTTAAAAAAAATTAATGTGTTAATAAAAATATAAATGATTTTTAAAAATTTTTAGAAATTTAATATACAATTTTTTTTTATTTAATAACAATAAAAAATGGAATAAATTATTAAAGTATTTATATATTAAAATTAAATTTTTATTAAATATAAATATAAATAAAATTATATTTTTTCATAATTAAAACAAAGAATATTTTTTCTCTAATTCTTCTAATGTATATATTTTATTATTAGTTAAATGATCAGCATCAAAGCTTAAATTAACTTAAATTTCTTTTAAATTTTCATAAATATTATCATCTTTTTAAGTATTATCTAAACAATTATTTTAATTATTATTATTATTATTATTATTATTATTATTATTATTATTATTATTATTATTATTATTATTATTATTACTATTTTATTCTTTTTATTTTAATTTAAGCATGCAATTTTCATTACAAACCCATTTATTTTCAATAATCATAGAATTACTTTTTAATGATTTTTTTCCGCATTCACAAGTAAACTGTCTTAAATATTATATTTAATTTAAAAAAAGTTAAAAAATTACTTATTAATCTAAATTATATGTATTTTAACAAGAAATACTACAAAATTTTTTATATCCTTCTTTTTTTACATACTTAAAACAATTCCAACATGAAATTCTTTCCTAAACTTTTTAAGTATATTTATAATTATTTTTTTCTTCGATTTTTTTTTCAATTAAATCATCCTAAAATCTTTTTATTTTTAGATTAGTTTTTATTTTTTTAATTTTTTTACTTAACTGATTTCTTTTTTTTATTTTAGATTTATTTAATTTTCTAATCAATTTATTATTTATTATATTCAATATTCGATTCCTTATTTATTTATACTTCTTCCTGTTCTTATTCTTATTCTTATTCTTATTTTATTTTGTTTTCTAATTCTTCTTATAATTCCTGATTTCTAAATGCAAATAAAGCTTCTAAAAACGATTTCCGAGATTCTTATTCGTTATATGTTCCATCTTTTAAACTACCATAATTATTTTTTTATTCTTCTTCTATATCTAAATACTCATCATAATATTCATCTTCATATGAAATATTTTAAATAGGACATTCAAGTTCAATTAAATCAGTTTTTTTTTCAATTATAATATGTTTTTATTTTTATTCATCTTTAATTTATTTTATTAAATTTTATATTTTAATTTAATGTCCTATTGGTATTTATAATTCTGTCATATATTCTTCATTAATTTCTATAAATATATAAATATATATATATATATATATATATATATTTATATATATATATTTCTAAAAATATATAAAACATAAAATAGTTTCTAAATCATCATATCCATTTTTAATTAGAATTTCTTCATATTATAATAAGTTTATATTTTAAAGAAATTGTCTTAAATTTTATATATTAATTGGTATTTATTTTTCTATTTCTTTTTCTTGATTTTACTCATTTTCTACACTTTCCTTCTATTTTTTTATGCTTTTTTAAGTTTTTAAAGAACTTTATTTTTATAATTTTTTGGTTTAATTCTTTGCTTTATAAATAATGAATTTGTTAAATTATCAAAATGTTATTTTAATTTACTTTATATTATTTTGCTTTCTTATTTTTATATTTTATTTTCTTATTTTTATTAAGAATTTTCATTATTTGTTGTTTTCCATCTATTGCCAAATAAGTTTATTCTTTTTTTTATTGATAATATTTTTTTTAAAACAAAAATATGTACGTATATTCTTTTTATTTATTTATTTCGTTTTTTAATTTATTTAATTTTTCCTCCTTATTTTATTTATTTATAATTTTTTATATTAAAAAAAAAAAAAATCACCATTTTTTTGGCTTCAATTTCTAATGGTTAAGTAATTTTGCTTTTTTAATATAATTATAAGTAAATATGCAATTAATATTTTTGTTATATTTACTTTTAATTTAAAAGGAGATGTTTAGAAGGTCTCATTTTTGAAATTTTTTATCCTTTTAATATTAAAACTAGTAAATTAATAATTATTTTTTAATTTTAAAAAATTAATAATATTTCTTTAATATTAAAATATAATATATTAAAAAAAAAAATATTAGACATTATATATATATAATATTTATTAAAAAAATAAAAAAAATAATATATATATATATATATATTTTTATATTAATTTATCAAAATGTATAATGGAATCGGTCTTCCAACTCCCAGAGGTTCAGGTACTTCTGGGTATATATAAAGAAATTTGAGTATATTTAAAAACTAATTAAAAAATCGCGATGAATTTTTAAAAACTTAAAATAAATTCATGTAATAAAATATATATAAACTATTCATTTTTATTTATTTTTTTGTTAAAAATAAAAGGATAAGCCAATAGATGCACATAGAAAAGCAAATCCTGAAATATTAGCACACGAATAAAAAAGAGAAATATAATTACATTTATTAGAATTAAGAGAAAAGTTGGAAGAAATGGGGTCTTTTTAAATAATTTTAATTAAATTTATTTTTTATTTTAATAAAAAAAAAAAAAATAGAGTACAAGAAGAAGAAATAGAATAAAGACTAAAAATAGCCGAATAAAAATTAAAAGAAAAAATTGAAAAAGGAGAATTAATGAAGTAAATCTATATATTTATTTTATTTTAAATAAACAAAAAAGTTCAAAAGATTCACATTAATAGAAAGTTGCAAAAGAAAAATAATATGAAAAAATAAAAGAAGCATTTAATATAAAAAATGATTATAAAGTTGGAAAATCTTTTGGTAAAAACACTAATAATATAATATACTAAAAAAAATAGATTTTGATGGATAAAAATAAGAAATTCTATAGAAGTAATATAATAAAGAATTGGAAAAACGTGAAAAAATAGAAAAATTCAAAATGTAAAAAAGAGAAGAAAAAAAGTAAAAAAAATAGAAGAAAATTTACAAAAGAAATAAGCAAAAATAATCGAAAAAGAATAAAAAAAAAAGCTAAGGATGAAAAATAAGAAAAGTCTAAAAAACATAAAAATAATAAAAAAAAATATTAAAAAGTGAATCTCCTAATAAATCTTCTTCCTCTTCTTCAAGTGAAAGTGATAGTAATATAAATTAATAAAAATGGAAAAAAAGAAAATTTCTAGTGATGACGATTGAATAAATAATAACAAAAACAATATAAATAAAAATGATATATAAATATTATAAAAAAACATATTATTATATATATATATATATATATATATATATATATATATATTATTATTATTATATAATAATT